TATAAAACTGATCAGGAGCGTCCACCGCGAAAGCCCTGGTTTGAGGACAGGACACTTTCTAGAAATACGTTGACCTTAGCTTTTAGACTTCAAGTCGTCACAATGTGGTCACACATCCCAATAAATAAGTTCTATCATCTAATAAAAAGAGCGGAATCTCCGCTATGTCAATTTTGTAACAAACTCGAAGATGTGCATTTCATGGAATGTGACCATTATATGGCAAGATTTCCAATTTCAATTAGGGGATATAGGTATGACAGGTCGGAGAGTTAAATGATGTGCTGGGTGACCCGTTGGCGAAGAGGGCTAAAACTTTGTACCTACTCATATGTGACGTTATGCTTTTCACTACGAAGCGACACGATATAGTCGAATAATCCACAGGAACTCATATCACACGACAGACATTGACACCCAAGTATTACAGACCTTATTAAAAACAATATAAAATTGCGGAGTCCCTGTACCGCGTACTACATCACATTCTGAACAACGACTGGCTTTTATTACAAAATTAATAAACAACTTCTACTAAAAAATATACACCAAAAATACACCTTCGTACTTCATTTCACATTGTCAACTACAATTGTCCAATACGTAAGGGATTAGAGTTCATTTTTGTTTTTGTATTTTAAAGACTCTAATTTCTACCAATTGACAACGCGATAAGGCAATGCTCTGTACAGGTTCGGAACATTACTTCACTGTAACTAATTTTTCGTCTCATAAATACGACTTCTACATTGCACTTATACCTATATACCGACGCGTCTCAAAACCTAAACAAATAATAGGTATATTATTAAATAAACCACATAATTTAACAATCCTCAAGTAAAAATGTGTATACAATTAAGGATGTGGTTTGAAAGAGGACGTATAGGTACATAGTGACAAAAATCCGTATGTTGATACCGTTTGTTAGAGTGGCAACAGAGATATAAAGAGTCAACATAGAAGATTTACGTTGGAAGAGTCCCTTTTTGAAAGAGACCATGAAAGACGTTCTAAGCGTAGTAAGAAGAATATGGGGGTAGGTATGAAAAGATTGCTGAATGGGTAATTTTCAAGTTAGTTTTCTCTATCTAATTTCGGTGGCAAATTTTATTATTCAAGTATTCGAGAATATTACTCTTGAATATTAAGTAACACTTCATTATAATATTCTAGAATATTTAAATTTAAAAAATTAAGTAACTACACCGAAACTAACCTGAAAACTATCCAAATACAAGTGAAATAAGAAAGGTTTGTCAGAATCATAAACCGTCCGTTACAAATTATTTTTTGTAAGCCTTTTGAGGTGTTATAAAAAATATAACCCAGTTTTAGAATATTGAAATTGTTTAAGGATATTTCAGCTATGCATCGTTAGGGTAAGTTCCGATAAGTCAAACACGTTTACTAATTTTAACTGTTTTTAAAAGAGAAATTTGTTCTCTATCTTTTACTGTTTAAAACGGATATTTAACCATTTGTTTTAGTTAATGGACGGCAGAAACTACCTGCCTACCCTTAAACAAATTAAACAACTATAAATAAGGTACTTGATATTATTGGTGGATAAAAATGGAAAGAAAAAATGTGACAAAAATTATATAAAATTATTTTCGATTGTAATGTAATGTATTGCAAATTCAAGAATAATTCAAACTGTTATTAGCTTTGGAGGAATACAGAAGGAATGAGTTTAAGAATTGTTCTGAACATTCTTATACCACTAGATCTGTTAACAATAAAGAATATTTGCACCACAGACCACGTGATTTGTATTATTATTATTTAATACCTGTCATATACAATGATACGAATGCTGACGAAAATAATTTATCTAAATCAACATTTAAAAATAAAGCGAAAAAGAAATTGGTATCTCAAATCTCACATTTTTGTTCGAAAATCGCCTCCAGTGCAACGGAACGGAACAAGATACGTCAATGTGTAGCTTGAAGTGCCGACGTTTGTATAATTGATTCTGATATATCTATGTGAGTGTATTTTATGACATACAATTAAGGTAAAAAAGGTAAGGTAAGGTCATTGACTTACAAATAAATGGACGACGGGTCTAATACAAAAACCACGAAAAAAATGTCCCAAGTCAACCTATTTAAACGTAGTGATGTAAAGGAATTTGAAAAAGCTAAAACGTTAAATTTAAATTGTAATGTCATCGCAGTACTGTCTAATTTTGCTTGCTTCGCTGTCAGTCGAACAAACGAAGACCAAAGCGTGAATGACGCTCTGTATACTATTTTAACGCCCTATAAGTTCGGACACTTTTTAGCGCGGACCCGACGTCCATATAATTGTAAGTCAATGGGTAAGGCATATAGGTTTATTGCTTATGCTTATGATGAGCGTGTCTCCGCCATTAAACTGCTCTGCAGTTTGATGGGCTTTAAATTTCTAGCCACGTGTACTTTTATGTAACAAACGTATTATTTATTATTATTACCCGAATATAAGTTCAAAGGCGTGAAAAGTACCTATATGTATGTACGTAGGCTTAGCAACGTTCGAACTATGCTCACTCACTTAAACAAGCAGCCAACGCCAATCGAATGCACGTGTCGGTTCACTACCCCTGGTTCAATATTGCGTCGTATCTTCGAAACGTTTACACGTCTCGTCACTCGTATCCTATCGAATTACCGTAACGAATATCATCTCCAGAATTATCGAACCGTATATATTCTACTTGACTTGTTACTAGTAACGATCATAATCGTAATAGATCACTCTGACGGACTAATTAGGTATTTATTGTAATAAATTTCAAAAAATCAAATTCCAATATACTTATTTTCATCAATATGTTAGAACACTTTAATCAGAACACTATAATATTATATATTGTATTGTATATAATTAAATGGGTTGAGTGGGTCACCGTAATAAAAAATCAACAAAATTTGTTCACAAATCAACATTGAATTTTTTTTTGGGGTCACATTTTCTACTTAATTAAAGTTACATTACACTTTGGGTTTTTTAATTCTATGTTATCTTTCTAAACTCATGGCTTTGTACCCAATGCTTAATAAATGAAAAACCAGCATTGAGCAACACATCAAGAACAAAGATGTTTTGCATTTTAAATAAATTTACGTTCTTCATTAGGTCAACATTTACATAATAATATCGTCGGTGTTTTGTAGAAAAGACGAAAGTGCCATTTCGAAAAATTTTTCGACCGTTTTCAAATATTTACGTCCCTACGTAGGTACGGGATCTGTGTTGGCCCGATCCTCTTTCTCTTATACGCAGAGAACATGATAGAAGCAATTAAGTACTGCTCCTATTATATGTATGCCGATGACACGCAGTTGGACCTCTCCTTTAAACCCAATGATGTCTGTTCTGCTGTGTCCAAGATAAATAAGGACATGAGGCGGCTGGCTGAGTGGTATGGAAGACATAATTGGCTGTTGAATGCGATCAAAACTAAATACATGATTCTCCGTTCTAAACATCAAGTTGCGAAAATATCAGCGGATGATCCCAAATTGTTGTAAATGTAAACGGTGTCCGAGTGGAACGTGTGTCTGTGGCCCGTAACCTTGAAGTACTGATGGAGGTACTCTTTGAGCAACACATATCTGGAATGGTACAGACATGTTATTACAGGCTGAATATTTTAAACAGCATCCTTATGTACCTTAATGAAAAATTGCTCATCAAATTGTGTGACTCTTTGGTATTGTCTATCGTCGGATATGCAGATATTGTGTACGGTCCACGTCTGCTGGCTAGAACCGAGCGTTTAGTGCAGAGAGTGCAGAACTCGTGCGCAAGATTCTGTATTGACGTACCTAAACGTGCCCATGTCACATATTACGGGATCTAATAACCTCAAAATGTCTCCGAGAGCAACACCTTCTCGTCTTGCCTCTTATTCGGTGTGTTTAAGACAGGTCAACCGGAGTACCTTGCAGAAAAGTTATCTTGGCGTGATCATGAGAGATGTGGTCCCCGTGTTGCGTGTTACAAATCCCTCCGCACGACACGCCTGCTTTCCGTGGGAGTTTCAGATATGCGGCCTCGAAGTGCTGGAACAACTTACCGCCGCCTAGGGGAGAACTAAAATCGATCTGCTTTTTTAAAATAAAAATGAAAAAACTATTAACATCACACCAGGCCGATATGCCCGCGAGCGGCCGTGTTGTTCCTGCATTTTCGAAGTAAAAGATTTGCTGACGGAGTATAACCCTATAATCACATTATATTTGGGTTTTAGTATGTACGAATTTTGAAATTGTCATTATTTGTCTTAACTTTATATATATTTATTTACGTATTAATTATAATATATAATAATAGTCAATGTACCTAATATGTAGCAGTATTTATATTTTTTAATTTATTTTGTATGTTTACATTAATTTTAATTGTAATTATATGTCAAATAATTATTTGTGTGTAAACTGTTTTAGTGTTGTTGTATTGTGCCAATAAAAGTATGTTTATGTCTACAAAACAACGACGATATGAACTTGTCGAATTTGTCTCAACATGAAGTTTATTAGGTATTAACAAAAAAATATATCAATGGTATTACACTTGTAAACAAATGTATTATACGGAGCAAATGAGACTCGACTACCTCCACGGCCGAACGGTTATCATGCTGACCTGTCACGCAGAGGTCCCGGGTTCGATTCCCGTAAGAAAGAAGTCATATTTGTATGGCCTATATTTATTTCTCTTGTGAGTTAGGGTGGTTGTCTATGTGTATCCTTGACTCCCGCGATACAGGGTTTCCCAAAGTGTGGGGCTACGAATATGTGCATTATTTGACAAATTTCTAGTAGTGACTTTACCCATAATATGTACCTGATACTGAACAAATTTCCCGTATTATGTATTTGACTATTTTTTTATGTAAGTAAGTCCTACAATTGCATTTTACATGAATAGTACTTCTGGTACTCCCAGTTTCAAAGAAATAAGACCACACAAGTAAAGTCAACACTTTATTACAATCAATATACTACATTCTATAATTACAATATGTATTAAAACAATTTAAACCCTACTTAGGTTTCGTTTGGATATTTGTTAACTTAGTGGGATCAAACTTATATGTTTTCTGCAGTGGTCCTTTGCCTGCCTTAGTAAAGATCATTTCGTCTATTCGCTGTCTTTCTGCCAGTTCTCTTGAAATCTTAATGTTTGTCCAAGAGTCCTTGGCTCCATCAACAAAACCCTTCTTCTTTATAGGCAAAGATGCAGGATTGTGTTTCAATAATAATGGGATCTTGAAATACTCTCTGACGGCTGGCACTTTGAGGATGCCTACTTGTGCCAGAGAAATAAAATTACTAGAGCACCAATAGACAAGGATAGCTCCCGGAAAATTGATAGTGAATGGGATCATGATCAAAGGGATTGCACGTAAAAAGTATCGCATTAACTGCATATTCTGTGCATCTAGCCGACCTCCATCCACACCAAGCTCTATTGTTGCCCACATAGTAGCACTTGTGATCAACGGAAGTAAGAAATATTGGTCTGGTACTGTGAGATCTACAAACCACCACAATCCTCCATGAGTCATACTCTCAACCGGACAGTTAGCCATGCCTCTTAAGCCCATAAAGAAAGAAATAAATAAAGGCGCCTGCGCTAATGGTACAATCATGTTTTTCAAAGGATTTAAACCCTTTTCCTTCATAAATAACATCATTTCTTGTGCATAACGTGCCGCTTCCAGCTGATTTCCAGTCTGCCGTGCCTGGGTCATTTTCATTTGCAGTAACTGAACTTCCGGCAGATGATTGTTCAGTGTTGCTGAATTCCGTTGTGACATTATAACAAGGGGGAACATGGCTACTCTTACAAAAAGTGTGCCGATTAGAATGGTTCCCCACCACGGTATGTCCATTGTGACATGGAGGTACTCTAGACAGTTTTGCACCAAGCCAACAGGGCTCCAGCCACCAAGACCCAAGCTCGCAAATGTAGGTTCTCCGTTTGCAGACAAACTTTGTACGGTCTCAGTCATCTCATTAAATGTCGATAGGTCGGGCACAGGTGGCGGTTCTGGAATATTCTCAACGACGGGAACTGATTTTCCTGCATCTCCGCTGCCTGAAGATGCAAACCTCACGGTGTTAGCTGAAGAATAAAGGTAATAAACCTTCGCTGTTCTAACCTCAAATTTTTCACAGAACAAAATCTGTTTCACCGCACTCCTGCACCCCTGGCGACTTAGTAATTTAAACATCTTCGATAAAGTCTTTTTGGTGATTCAAAATAACTGTAAATTAGTCATTAACACAAAATTTTTAACACTATTTTTATTTACGGCACATCCCCCCATCTGTCCGACAGTGACAGGTAATCAACATTACCACAACAAAAAATAGTCTCGTGGACTATTTTTTATTTGTCTTTGGCTGGAGATCACACTTCTTTCGTAATTTGGTCAGGTGACTAAATAGTATTGTTTGTATCGCGAACTACGACCATAACGACCAAATCCGACAGTTTAACAGCTAAACACGTGTTTTAATTTGGCAAGTTGTGTACCTACCAAAACATATTCACAATTATTAATTATTTAATATTGTTGCAATGATAGTGTTTTTTGAGATTACTACGTAATCGTAAGAATAAAGTGTTCAATTAAAATGGCTCATATATCTTTTCCATTCAAGAAGACAAACAAAACCCTATTTCAAAAACCGGCATCCATTCTTACTGATGATTCTGTATATTGGAGGAAATTAGGGGTAATTGTTAACCTTATTCATAAATTTTAAAAATAAGCAAATGGTACCCTAGTTCGTCATGGAACTAATTAAGCTTTATAATCTTTCAGTCCCCGGTGTTAGTAAAGGAATTTGGTGCTATTGACTACTTGAATTTCAGTCCTGTAGACCCATATTACTTTGCTGCGACTTGTTCGGCTAGGATTCAGGTAAGTTTTCACTACATTTTTTATGAAAATTTCAATTCGTAAATCTTAGACCCACAATAACTCTATTCATTGGACCAGTGTTTCTTTAAATTGTTCACTAATGGAATTAACAAAATAACATGAAAAATATGAATGTTTTTAAATTATTCCTTATGAAAAGTTCACATTTTAGTGTAGTCGTAATTACTAACAGTTTTGTAGTTGAGCATTAATTTGAATTGTTATTTTGTTCATGTAATTCTTGAGTCTCATTATTTTGCCTCATTTGAGTAATAAACATTTAATTCAAATATTCCAGGTGTATGACCCAATAACAAAGACAGTAGTGAAAAACATTTCTAAATTCCACGAAGCCGCTTATGGAGCAGCCTTCAGAGCCGATGGTAGACTCATAGTAGCAGGCAGTGAAGAAGCTGCAGTCAAGTTGTTTGATCTACAATCAAAAAATGTTCTCAGAGTCTTTACGGGGCATACTGGCCCTGTAAGTATTGTTAACTTAACCAATCTCTAAAATTCATTTTTAAATTTCTCAACATACTTAATTTGATTTTATGTATCAATGTGTAAAAAATTTAACCTGGAACTATTTACTGCATTCTGTATTTCCCACATTGCACAACGAGTCTATATTTATGGTCAAACTGAAAAGTTAAATTTAGGTGATCATGTAGCATCTTCTTTACATCTTAAATTCCTGTTATGTGACATTGTGGACAACATAAATAAAGAATATATATATTTGTGACAACAAATACATATATTATCTTTCCAAAAACGTGTGAGACTAATTTTTTTTATGAAAATTGGAGATGGCATAATAATGAAACATCTTTTTCAGGTCCACAGAACATTCTTCTCCAAAGACCAAGTGAAAGTTGTCAGTTTTTCTGATGATAAATCAGTTTGTCTCTGGGACATTGCAACAGAAGAGAAAATTGCAAGTTTCTCTGAACACAATGACTATGTCAGAGCTGGGGCACCAAGTCCTGTGTCTCCTGAAATTATTTTATCTGGAGGTTATGACCATGTTGTGAAATTATATGACTGTCGATCCAATGAAACTATTATGACTGTCAACCATGGAAGCCCTGTGGAATCTACTTTGTTCTTACCTTCTGGTGGTCTCTTCATAAGTGCCGGAGGTACAGAAATAAAAGTGTGGGATATATTCAATGGTGGAAAATTACTTGCAAATATTTCACAACACCATAAAACAGTAACTACATTACTGCTTGCAAGCAACAATAGCAGACTTTTGTCCGCATCTTTAGACAGACATGTGAAAATTTATGATATTTCCACATTCAAAGTTGTCCATAACATTGACTTCCCTAATGCTGTGCTCAGTATGGCTGTTTCAGAACACGATGATGTACTTGCAGCTGGTATGATAGATGGGGTCATTTCTATTAGAAAAAGAGAACAACCTAACAGACGATCAGGAGAAAAAAAAGGTCTCTTCAAATTTGCCCCTGACCTTATGCCAACAAAAGGTGTAAATGCTACAGTAGATATGTTTGTTAGTGACTCTAAAACAAAAACAGAACCAGAATGTGACAAGTTCTTGAAAAAAATGCAGTTTGGTAAAGCCCTGCAGTCAGTTCTCAAAACTTATACAGCAACTAAGTACCCAGAAAAAACTATAGCTGTGACACAAGAATTATTGAGAAGAAAAGTTCTTCATGTAGCAATGTTTGATTTAGATGAGAAGAGAATTGGTGCTTTACTGCGATTCTTTGTAAAGAATTTAGGTGAAACTAGATTCACTAGAACTATAATCGATGCTGCTAATGTTTTTATAGATGTGTATGAAAAACAAGTACAGTTTTTTTCAGAAAGCAACTTGTGGCTCTACAAATCTCTCCAAAAAGAGTTAAAGGATGAAATTGAAGTGTGTAAGACGGTCAGTGAGCTAGAAGGCGCAATAAGTCTTTTATTAGCGGGCGCACAAATCAGCAGTAATCTTCCTACAGAAATAGATACTTTTACACCATCTACTAAAGCTTTAAAAGAAATTGTTATTGATGTGGAGTAAAGCAGATTGCCAGAAAATATTGTTTTTTCATAAATGAAGTATATATATAACATAACGCACACACTCAACATAGCCCCGAACTAGGGAGACCCTTTATCGCGGGTGTCATGGACACACACATACACAACCACAAATTACACCCAAACTCACGAGAGAAATAAATGTAGGCCATACAAATATTTCTCTCGGCCCAGGAATCGATCCTGGGACCTCCGCTTGGCAGTCAGATAGTAACCGTTCGACCACGCAGGCAGTCAGACATACATAACATAAACTAACTGCCTCCATGGCCAAACAGTTACCATGCTGGTCTGCCACGCAGTGGTTCAGAGTTCGATTTTCGGGCCGAAGGAAATATTTGTATGGCCTACATTTGTAGGCCTACGCTGTGCGGGGTTATAAGTGTGTGCGTTAGTTATTTATAAACAAATACTACTACAGTAAGTAATATTACAACCCCAAGGTTCCTTATGTAACAACCCTTATAGCGCATCGTAACAAATGAAAGATATTAGGGGTTAAAGTATGAAATTGCCGTTTTATTGCAATAGGTTC